TCATTTCTATTTGTTCACTTAAGTCTTCAATTCTGGCTTCTGGTGACAGTGAGCAGAGTACATTTCATTAGTTTTCTGGTAGAGACCACTACTGGTTTTGATCAATGAATTTTTTCCAACAGGTTCAGGATTGTGTTTCCTTTAGTCCTTTTCAGCTTAAATTTTTATGTCTTCCTTCCCTTTATTTCTAGCCTCACTAATACAGTCATCTAAACATACGTCCATTTACATACATAGCAAGAAACGCCCACCCATCTGGTAAACATGGGGATTACTAAATACTACATTTGGCAAAATTAGCAAAATCTGCCAAACCCAAAAAAGCTCAGTATCCAAAAATATTCTACTAGAAAGACTATTAAAATCAGTTCTTGGAGTGCTTGGGTGGCACAGTAGGTTGACCGGCCCACTCTTGGTTTCTGCTCAGGTTGTGATCTTGGGGTTGTGGATCAAGTCCTGCATGGGGTTCTGCACTTAGCACGGAGTCTGCTTGAGACTCTCTCTCCCACTGCCCCTCCCCCCATGCTCTCTCTTTCTCACCCTCTCAAATAAATGAATTTTTAAAAACAAATAAACAAACAAATAAATAAAATCAATTCTAAAGGATTAAGTAGGTATAATCATCTATTCCAGCCAAAATCTTTGGGCTATATTTTTTGTGTTGTAAAGAGATACTGTGATATCTGACACAGTGATGATTGAAGAAATCCTCCTAAAAGAGCTTGCTAATGGATAATCAACAATTATGTGAGATAATTTGCTGGAAAAGAGCCGCTGATGAATACGACTCAGAAAAATCTAATATGAATAAAAGTATTCAAAAGAAGGGGCACCTCAGTGGCTGAGTTGGTTAAGCATCTGACTTGGGCTCAGGTCATGATCTCAGGGTCCTGGGATCGAGCCCAAGTCAGGCTCCCTGCTCAGCGGAAAGTCTGATTGTCCCTCTCCCTCTGCAGCTCCCTCCACCCATGCTCGCTCTCTCTCTCTCTCTCTCTCTCCCTCTCTCTCTCAAATAAAATCTTTTTTTAACTTTTTTTTAAGATTTTTATTTATTGGGGAACATGGGTGGCTCAGTCAGTTAAGCGTCTGCCTTTGGCTCAGGTCATGATCCTAGGGTCCTAAGATCGAGCCCCGCATCGGGCTTCCTGCTGGGCGGGAAGCCTGCTTCTCCCTCTCCCACTCCGCCTGCTTGTGTTCCCTTTCTCACTGTCTCTCTCGGTCTGTCAAATAAATAAATAAAATCTTTTAAAAAAAAAGATTTTTATTTATTTATTTGGGAGAGAGAGCATGAGAGACAGCACGAGCAAGGAGGAGCGCAGAGGGAGAAGCAGATTCCCCGCCGAGCTGGGAGTAAGGTGATAGCTTCTGGATCCCCAGATTAGTAATGGAAATAGAAAAAGGTAATGGACAATGCTATTAGGCCCTTAAAGGAGCTCAGTCTTCATTTCTGTTATGAAGGCATGGCTATGCAAAGGGCTCCCAGCCCTTCTGATGGCTGAAATATCTTTGAGTATCATGGCCCTAACTTTGATTGGCTGATAAAGTCAACATCATTCCACCAGCAAAAAGCAAAAGTTTATGTTTGTCAGTTTACATGCTCGGTATTAGCCTTCTAAATTAACAGAATTTTATTCAAGCAAAGTATATAACAAGCACTAGTTCTGTCCTTACAACATTTTCCTCCTAAAACGGACCTGTCTTCTTCATCTCAATTAATCACACAACCTCCACCCAGCTCCTTAAAATAAAAAACCAAGAACTTATATTTCACTTCCTTTTTCCGTTGCCCCCATGTCTAACTCAGCAGAAGTCCCACCAGCTGTGCCTCCAGAATCCATCCCATACCTAAGGACTCATCTCTAACTCCCTCACCACCATCCCTGACTCAACTACTGCAGTAGCCCAGCTGGTGTTTCTGCGTCTACTTCTGCCCCCTCTACTCCATTATCCAGAGACCAGGCTGTGATCCACGTAAAATACATTCTTCCCCTGCACAAAACCTTCAAAAAGCTCCTAATTTAAAAAAAAAAAAAGTTTTCCTTCCATGGCTTTCAAGACCCTGCACATTCCGACCCCAAGTCCTTTCTGCCCTCAACTCATGAAATTTCAGCTTCATAGGCACTAAGACTGTGCTTTGCTTAGGTCATGCCTATGCTCTCCCCAGACCCTTTGTACTTGCCAGGTGAGCTTCCTGGAATGACCTTCCCTCAGACCTCCCATCATAGGTCCTTAGTGAGGCTTCCTTTACATTCACCCTACTCCACCCTCATTGACCGTATCATATTACTAGGGTTTATTTCCTTTATAGCATTTATTAGAACCTGATGTAAATTCATGACCTATGCTTTTATTTGTTGTTGCTCTAGTTTCAGTTTTTTGTTGTTGGTTTTTGGATTTTGTTTTTTATGGGTCTCTCCCCACTGGGATAAGGATCTAAATTTCAGGAGAAGTCTTATTTCTCAAAAAAAAAAAAAAAAGAAAGAAAGAAAGAAAGAAATCTTATTTCTCTTCCTCACTAATGTATCTCTGGAGTCTAAACCACTGCCTATAGAATGTATTTGGTAAGCATTTGTGAATGAATTAACTTATCATTCAAAGCTCTTTGCCTTTTAGGGTTCTCAAAATTTTAACCAAATTAAAAGATGAAGAGAAAATGTCAAGTCCTTTCATATTTTCTATAGCATTTCTAAAGCAAAATGTTAGGCCCTAAAAATGTATAATATAACATGGGACTAAGAAGGGTTGAATGAAGAAGTCTAATCTATAAACCATATCAGTAAGACCCCTAAATCAAAACTCTTTATTGCTTTAATTATGTGTATAAATGGAGAGAGGAGAAGGGGGAGGGATGCTCTTAGGGAACAAATTTGGAGGTGGGAAGAGTGCCAGTTATGAGTTTATTCCCACATGGTGTTATGTCTCGAAGGCAACTGTCCTCAAGAGAATTGTTGGTTAGAAATCCTCCCAACAGCAATTTTCTGGAAATCAGCAGAGAGACTAATTATCAGAAACTTCTCTCCACACAGATAAGTGCATTTCTCCCCATTCCTCCACTAATATCTCAATCTACATAACTCCTTGTATTGCCACCTCACCTGAGTTTTGAAGAAAATCCTTGACTGTGCATATAGCAAATGCACAGTTCTGTGACTGACCTGCTGTTTAAGTATATGGAATAACATTTCTTACTAGAGTGCCTTTAATTTCATATTTGTTTTGGGTTTAGTTTGGCAGGGGGAGTAAAGATGTATTACAGAGCCAACAAATAAAGTAAGGAGAAAATGCAATCGCATAAAGTTGGGGGAAACAAATTCCCCATTATAAGGAAATTACTCACCACCATATTAAGGGATTGTATTTTTTGTTTGCTTTTCCCTCTGCATGCCACACTCAACTGTCCTCCAAATAGACAATGATGGGAGGAATTACTACTCTCTAACACAAGGATGGAGAGGGGGTGGGAAATAAGAGGCAGCAAGTTCAGTGATTAAAAAAAAAAGAAGAAGAAGGTAGAGAATTACCCTATTCTTTTCAGTTTATTCCAATTTCACATTTTTTGAATGATAAGACTGTTTACTTCTAAACTTTAAGAGAAGAAAATGCAGTCAGCTCGGGAATAGTTTCAGTCAAAAGGTAAGCTTTAGACATGGCTAGGGTTTGTCTTTCTCTGTACCATGTTGATTTTAAATCCAACTCGTAAATTGATATATTTTCTAGAACACAGCTCTACAAGACTTTTAGCCACCATTGTCCCCAGATTCTGTCTCTATAATAACACACACCTCTCACCAAAAAAAAAGGGGGGGAGGAAAAAATTTAAATTATCCAATTCTCCCTATAGAAAAAAAAGATCTACCTAGCAGTAATTAGCTATATGTCATTTAAAAAAATAATTTAATAAATAAAAAGATCTTAAGAAGGAACTTTCATAAGTCACAGCACATCCTGAGGAATCTCCTTTCACATGGGAAGTATCAAGAAGATCTCACAATATTTTACATGATTAATTTTCTTAATACTGAAGGGAGAATCAAGGAAGAACATAGGTTATAACGCATGAAGAAGAGAAAGAAGAAATACAGGACATATAGACATTTTATTATTTACGCTCACGTCTTGATCTCAGTCAGGGTTCATTTTCATTGTCTTTCAAAACTCACTATTATCTCATTCATTGGTCAATAGCATATACACTGAAGGCACAGAAGGATATATATAGTTGGAAGCAAAGACAACTGTAACTAACCCATATGGATGAGAACCCATTACTCTGCCTCACAAATATCTGGGCTCCACACAAGTGAGCCAATTAAACCTTCAATTTTCTTATGAGAAAATCATATAGGAGAATTTTGATATATCTGGGTTTTAGATGCATACTCAACACAACTACCAAGTCACACATGTACCACATACCTGAGAAAGATTAGCAATACCCTGGCTTGAAAACAATAATCCAGCTGTCCTGATACTCATTAGGAATTACGAATATGCCTTTTGGATTACTGTCCTGCAGTATTAATTCCCCTGGTGAATGGGAGCTGGGGAGAAAGCGGACAATGCTGCTTCATACCAATGGTTAGTACACAGATGAGCTAAGAACGCACTGAAATAGTGTTCTAGGCATCCATGGAAACCTGCTGCCCACTGGGAACAAAGCTCTGGCCCTATGGTACTGCTTCTGAAGTAATGTCCTCGACCAGCAAAGTCAGTAGTCCTGACTCGAGCCACTTTAAAATCATCACTGATTAAAGCAGGCTAGAAAACTGTCCAAAGTGGCCATCTGTTAAGAAAAGGTTTGGCCAATATACTTCAGATTGCTCTAGTCAAGAAGGAAAGCATAGAAACAGACATGCTGAGTTGCTGAGTGGCTGAGGGGAGGATGGTGGCTTGCATCACATGTCGGTTTTTAAACTGTAGGGTGATTGGGCAGACACATATCACAGCTGCTATTTCGACTGCAATCTGCCTCACAGACTGAAGTCAATGTTCCTACTTACATCAAAAGGAGCTGAACTTGATTGGGCATTTCGATCACATGGTTCCCTGAAGCAGTCACTGAAAGGAAGTAGAAGACCCATGGCAATGATCCGGGAGCAAAACTTCTCTGCTTCTTCTGGAGGCCCGTTCTCCTGCTGGCTGAATAGCTTCTCCAACAGAGTTCGCCCTGCAGATGAAACAATCATTAGGAAGGAGCACCGGCAAGTCACCTGGCTCAGAACCCTCCCAGAGGAGTGAGGCCTGGAAAACACAACCCTTGAGCATCACTGTTGCCAAGGCTACTGAGGTGCTTCTCAATCACAGAGAAAGTCTGCAGTCTGAGGCCTGAGTTTCCATATGGGAAAAGGCAGCTCTAGTTTGCTCTCCCATCCCCCAAAACATGTCCTGCCCCAAAAGGGGATGATCACAAGATGGACTATACATTTTCCACCTGAAGAAGTGCCCAACATTTTGGATTTCATTGGTAGCCCTTCTTCCTCTCTTTGTTTACCCTACTGATGGCTCTCTAAGGGAGCAGTTACCAACCACCAAGTGGGCTAAGAAATGTCAGTGGCTGATATTCAGTCTCTGGCATGGCAATGGGGAGGAGCAGGGAATGAGGAGACAGGAGGCAGGCAAAGGCCCTAACCCCTGAGGAAAGAGTTGGCCAGCCAATTCATCACCCTGAAGAGGAACGTGACAGGCTCAAAATTTTCTCACATACTCCTCAGAACCATAGCTCTAGGGTAGGTGCAAACCTCAGTTTTTATTTCCCTAAAAGAGACAGGAAAAGAGATGCATAAGAGGAGGCCACCAGCTAAGGACCCCAGAGGGCCTGGGTCCACCTAGTGTCATGGTTCTCAATCCTAGCTGTACCTTAGATTCATCTGGGACAACATAATGACCAGAAGTCCCTAATTCATTTCTGATATTATTTGCTCTCTAATTTATTATCCTTTAGAAATTGATTTAGCTGATTTCTCCATTAGTCAACTCTGGTAGAAGAAATGGAAAATTGCTAGGACTTCTTTCAGGGCCATAACTACTCCCTCAGTTCTTGCCCTGCTCCTGCCCCTCCCTCATTCTTCAAATTTAGATTAAAATCACTTATCCAGAAAAGACTCCAGTCACCCCCTTCCATTTGTTGGAAGTACTAAGTCCGTTCTTAGTACTTTGTGTAATTAGTGATTTTAATTAATCATGTGTATACTTGCTTAATATCTACACCTCTTGGGGCCCCTGGGTGGCTTAGTCAGTTAAGAGTCTGCCTTCAGCAATCCCCATCAAAATACCATCCACTTTTTTCAAAGAAATGGAACAAATAATCCTAAAATTTGTATGGAACCAGAAAAGATCCGAAATAGCCAGAGGAATGTTGAAAAAGAAAGGAAAGCTGGCAGCATCACAATTCCGGACTTCCAGCTCTATTACAAAGCTGTCATCATCAAGACAGTATGGTTCTGGCACAAAAACAGACACATTGATCAATGGAACAGAATACAGAGCCCAGAAATGGACCCTCAACTCTATGGTCAACTCATCTTCGACAAAGCAGGAAAGAATGTCCAATGGAAAAAAGACAGCCTCTTCAACAAATGGTGTTGGGAAAATTGGACAGCCACATGCAGAAGAATGAAACTGGACCATTTCCTTACACCACACACAACAATAGACTCCAAATGGTTGAGAGACCTCAATGTGAGACAGGAGTCCATCAAAATCCTAAAGGAGAACACAGGCAGCGACCTCTTCGACCTCAGCCGCAGCAAATTCTTCCTAGAAACATCGCCAAAGGCAAGGGAAGCAAGGGCAAAAATGAACTATTGGGACTTCATCAAGATCAAAAGCTTTTGCACAGCAAAAGAAACAGTCAACAAAACCAAAAGACAACCGACAGAATGGGAGAAGATATTTGCAAATGCCATATCAGATAAAGGGCTAGTATCCAAAATCTATAAAGAACTTATCAAACTCAACACCCAAAGAACAAAGAATCCAATCAAGAAATGGGCAGAAGACATGAACAGACATTTTTCCAAAGAAGACATCCAAATGGCCAACAGACACATGAAAAAGGGCTCAACATTGCTCAGCATCAGGGAAATCCAAATCAAAACCTCAATGAGATATCACCTCACACCAGTAAGAATGGCTAAAATTAACAAGTCAGGAAATGACAGATGTTGGCGGGGATGCGGAGAAAGGGGAACCCTCCTACCCTGTTGGTGGGAATGCAAGCTGGTGCAACCACTCTGGAAAACAGTATGGAGGTTCCTCAAAAGGTTGAAAATAGAGCTACCATATGATCCAGCAATTGCACTACTGGGTATTTACCCCAAAGATACAAATGTAGGGATCCGAAGGGGTACGTGCACCCTAATGTTTATAGCAGCAATGTCCACAGTAGCCAAACTGTGGAAAGAGCCAAGATGTTCATCGGCAGATGAATGGATAAAGAAGATGTGGTATATATATACAATGGAATATTATGCAGCCATCAAAAGGAATGAGATCTTGCCTTTTGCAATGACATGGATGGAACTGGAGGGTATTATGCTGAGTGAAATAAGTCAATCAGAGAAAGACATGTATCATATGACCTCACTGATATGAGGAATTCTTAATATCAGGAAACAAACTGAGGGTTGCTGGAGTGGTGGGGGGTAGGAGGGATGGGGTGGTTGGGTGATAGACATTAGGGAGGGTATGTGCTATGGTGAGCGCTGTGAATTGTGCAAGACTGTTGAATCACAGATCTGTACCTCTGAAACAAATAATGCAATATATGTTAAGGAAAAAAAAAGGAGAAGATAGCAGGACAGGAAGAATGAAGAGGGGGAAATCAGAGGGGAGACGAACCATGAGAGACGATGGACTCTGAAAAACAAACTGAGGGTTCTAGAGGGGAGGGGGGTGGGAGGATGGGTTAGCCTGGTGATGGGTATTGAGGAGGGCACGTTCTGCATGGAGCACTGGGTGTTATGCACAAACAATGAATCATGGAACACTACATCAAAAACTAATGATGTAATGTATGGTGATTATCATAACAATATAAAATTTTTTAAAAAAAGAGCCTGCCTTCGGCTCAGGTCATGATCCCAGGGTCCTGGGATTGAGCCCCATGTTGTATTGGGCTCCTTGCTCAGCGGGGAGCCTGCTTCTCCCTCTCCCTCTGCCCCTCCCCCCATTCGCACTGTCTCTCTCTCTCTCTCTCTCAAAATAAAATCTTTAAAAAAAAATATCTACACTTCTTACTAAAATAAACTGACAGCCAGCATATATCCTGCAAATGTGGCCTCTCACACATAAGAAGTATCAATAAATATGTTTTAGGATTTCTGAATAAATGCAATGTTATGATTCTGTGACAAAGACTCATTCATATCATGGTCAGAACTAGAAAGGAGATACATCTATACCAGGGATCAGCAAGCTCTTCCTATAAAGGGCCAAACAGTAAATATTTTAGGCTTTGAGGGCCATGTAAGGTCTCTGTTGCATATTCTTCGTTTTTGTTTCAAATCGCTTTCACAATGTAAAAAGCATTCTTAGCTTGGGGTTCTGCAAAACCAGGCCCAGGTCTGTATTTCAGTTAGAACAACTAAATTTCAAATGTATAAATGTCTGTAAGGATATTAGTCATGCAATTTTTGTGCCTCTTCCTATTTTTGTTTTTACAACAGAACTCATTTCAAAATCTACCTCTGATATGTGGGATAACAAAGCAGAACAAAAGAGGCCTTTTTATTTTCTTCATTCTTCTAGGTCACTAGACAACATTCTTTAGTCTCCCAGGATTTTTATTCTATAGAACTTAAGTTTCCCTTCAACTAGCTGGAAACAAACATCAAGGAAACCACATCCCTCAATTGTCAAATGATGAATTATTGTTAAGTATACCCATCTGACATATCTTATGACTGAAAACAGCCAGAAAACTAAGTGCTACTTTCCTGTAACTTGGAAATTGTGTAGGACAGAAAGGGAGACAGGATCTTCCATATGTGAGAGTATTGAGTGTGAGCAAGTAAATGTGTATGTGTACATCAGGCCAAAAATCGTCAGAAAGGGTTATGGAATAATGTGGAAGAGAGGAAAGTACAAGCCCCCTGGACCTTCAGCTCTATGATGAACAAATACCCCTCAATCCTTCATCCAGGGCTTCCTAACCATGACTCCACTGATGCCTTGGGATGGATAATTCTGTGGGTCCTGTCCACTGTAGGATGTTAGCAGCATCACTGGCCATTACACACTAGATGCCTGCACTTCCAATTGTAAGAGCCTAGGTGTCTCCAGACATTGCCAAATGTCCCCCAGCTTGAGACTCCCTGCCTCAACCTCTCTAAAGAGAACCTCCCCTGTTCGCATGGACAGTAACTTGCTGCCCCTCAGTCTACATGGAGATATTGTGCATCAAATCCCACATATATTGGGGGTAGGAAGGGAGTGAGGGACTTCTCTGATCCCCTGAGCACTTTCAAATAACTTATTCTCCTTCAAAACCATCAGCATCTTTGTAAGTCCTGCCACTGGCTAGACCACATGTCATCCTTCTCCTTTCTGCCGTCCACTAACTTCTTGTCATTCCTGATCCCCCCCACCTTGCCTCCTGACTCAACCACTGTGTTTTCCAACCTTACTCCTCTCAGTGATTCTGACATCCACATGGAGATCAAACCAACACCCAGGGAAATAACTCATCTGAGATCTTGAATCCTTGCCTCCAGTCAGTGTTTCTTCTACCCCACACAAGCAACCCATTCGAAAGACCAATTTCAAACTCTACTCCAGCCCTCCATGGCTTTTCATCACCCTCAGAGCAAAACCCAACTCCTCACCACAACTCAAGAACCCCCCAGCCCCCACCACCACTCCTGTCACCTCTTCCTGCTCTCCCTGAAGGCAGTCGCACCTACTGGTCTCTTCCTCCTCAACACACAGAGGTCACTCTCACCTCAGAGCCGTTTGTACTAAAACACTCTTTCCAAGATACTTGAATGACTCTCTTTCATCTTTCATTGTTAAAAAAAAAAAAAAAAGATGGTTTTATACATACATGGCTATACATGTGGCCATTAATATCATGCTATTATAGCTGCGAACGTCCCTAAACTGGGGAAGGAAACAAGTATTCACATCCAAGAGGCAGAGAGGACCCCTCCCAAGGTCAATAAAAATGGA